GTTCCCTCCTTCCTCTATTCCTGTTGTGCTTTTTCAAGTGTATGAGCTGCTTTATTTTCTCCCTTACAACAACATAAACAACAAACCCACAGGTAAACCTGGAGTAACAGCTCAAGTAAAAAATCTGAAGTTTAAAACCAAACTGTATCTATATAGTACAGTTAGGATGGACTATAGCAATGGCTTCACTGAAATTTGGTAATTTAAGCATTGGAAGTTGATAAACAGCACTGCTTTGCTTGCCAACAAGAATGGGCAAATACCAAACTACCAACGTCAGAGGTGATTGCTCTGGTTGCAGAGATGGAAAGCAGTGCCTCTTTGAACAATCAGTCCTGAAACCCTCTCTAAACAGGGTTAAGAATCCAGAGCTCAACCTTTGCCAGCACAGACACCTATGAAATGCAGTGGCAGATAGATAAAGGACAATGGGAAAAGAAAGAGTGAGTTGAAGGCCCAGACCTACCTGTGGGCACATCCTTCTGCAGCTGCCACTGACCACTGCCAGGTCACTGCTACTGCAAGCAGCTGCCAGCTCTGAACTAACCATTTTAGGTATATCTAACAACTTCTAAATCTGATCACCTGCTTCCTTAACTGAATAAAAACAGTATAAAAAATACTTGTCTACACACAAACAAAAAAAGAAAAATCTTTGTAGGAGAGTGGAGATACCCCAAAGCCTCTCACTGCCTTTGCAGTTCAAGCCTGTATCAGAATTTTATAAAAATTTCCAACTAAGCTCCAGTTAAGCAGCTTGGCACATCAGGGATGCATGCATCCATCCAGTACCCTCCAGGAGTACAACACTGTTACTCCATAAAAAAAGGATTTCACCCTTCTAATTTTTTAAAATAAGACCAAAAAGCCCTCTTCCATTTGCATTTAACATTATGGCCTCAAACTTCTTTGAAATACCATTAACTTGAACTGTCCAAGGGAATAATTTCCAAAAAAGAGACTGCTGTTTCCCGCTCTACTGTGCCACAAGTAGCATTAGTGGTTGGGAATCCTTCAGTTGAGGCATGTGCACAGAAAAAACTGAGCAGTTGCTTTTGGACTCTTCATTCAGCTCAAACAGTTCTGAGCACAGTAAAGAGGATAGGAGGGATGCAGGTTAAGGTGGCAAGGCAAAATCCTTTCTCCTACAATCTAGCTGCCCTGGCAGAAGCAACAGCTGATGTGGTATCCACTGTTACTTCTAGGTTATGAGCAGAGTTAACATAACAAGCTAGCAGGCTACAAACTACTCCTGATGTAAGTCCAGGGAACCTTAAAAATTAGAAAAATATTAGAAAACTTTTAAAATCTTATTACTCGAAATGACATAAGAAAGCTGCATGTATTTTCCCTATTTTTCCACATCCTTCTGCTAAAAGCTGATCTTCCAGAGTGAAAAGATACGCTACATCAAGTCTTGTGTGCTCTCTGTGCATTATTTGTGTAGTTTTAAGGCAAAATGCCTTTGGTGTGTATCAATGATGTGCCAGCCTTGCATAGCAGCGCACTGTTGTGGCTTATTGCTTTTTTTAACAGACAAAATAAAAGCCTAGCACAGCTTTGATTATCATCTCCATCAATGTAAGAAGTTATGAGGTTTTCCTTTTTTTAGTTTGTTTTCGTTGCTATCTGTAAAAAGTTCAATTAGGGCAAAGACACACATATTTAACTGTCTAAACAGCAGCAAATTATTCCTTCATCTATGAAGCTGTATTCAACTAAACCACCATGTTTTGCCTTAGCCAAGGTATTCTGTACTGATTTCTTTATAGACTCTTCACCATCCACAGTTTGAGAAACAGGAGATCTAAGTAGCAGAAAACAGTCCCCTATGGCCTAGTAAATAGGGATTAGAAAACTATTACAAAACTCTTACTGCATAGGCTATGAAAAGACAAAAACCCTTGAAAAACACAAACCATTTGTTGGAACTCAAAATGCAAGGATTGTGTTAATGTTTTCACAGAAGTTTAAAGAGGATTTTTGTTTTTAGCTTACAGGCCCTCAAAAAGAGTTCTTACAGATTTAGAGATAATGGCTCAGATCATTGTTAAGGCAAACACCAGATTGCTGACAATGTCAGGCAAAGATTTCTTATCATTCATTTACATTTAAAGAAAAAATATTTTGAGTGGACAATCCAAAGTCACAAGATTTTTCAATCACGTTGTTAGAGTACCCAGAAGTTTGCACAGTTCATTTTCTAGCTCACAAAACGTTAAATGCAAAAATAAATTTTAGAGGAAAATCAAAAATAAGTTATGTGAAATTAGTAGCAGTAGTCAGAGTTTTTCAGTTATTTCAGAAGCCATCAATCTGATCACAGATTCAGTGTATATTGCAAATGTGGTCAAGCAATTAGAGGAATCACCCTCAAAACATACGGACAATGAAGTTTTATATTCATATCTATTATGCATGACAATAATCATAGAAAACAGAGAACATAAATATTTTGTTATACACATCAGAATGCATTCTTCACTTCTGAGGTTTTTAGTAAAGGTGAATGTTCATATAGACAGATTCACAGTGCCCATCTCACAGATGCTGCCAGACATTTTTGAGCAAGCAAAATTGAGCCGTGCATTTTTTCACAAAAATATACAAACATTGATGGAATCCTTTCGCTTTTCTAAAAGTCTGGCAAAGGAAATCATCAGTGCTTGTCAGAGTGCCAGTTTGTACAGCGTCCTGTATCTACAGGAGTGGCCAATTCGAGAGGTTTGAAAAAGTCTTCAGCTGTGGCAAACTGATGTCACAAAATAGGCATCTTTTGAGAGGCTTGAAAACATTTGTGTTTCAGTTGATATATTTTCACATTTATGTTTCAGTTGACACATTTTCAGGAGCAATTTTTGGATCATAACATACAGAGGAAACCACAGAACACATCATACCCTGAAATCAATTTGGATAAACAGACAAGGAGGAGGCAGGCGCAACATCTCATATGCAGTTGAACAAAGCTTTGTATGTGTTGAATTTTTTAAATGGTTCTTTTTCAGAGTCCACTCCATCAATTGTCAGACATTTTACAAACAGTGCATGAGCAAAACTAAGGGAAAATTCTTTAGTTTTGATCAGAAACCCAGAGTCAGAACAAATTGAAAGTCCATTTACATGAATAACGTGGGGCAAGTGTTTCGTTTGTGTTTCTATAGAACGAGGAGCAAAGTGGGTGTCAGCAAGGCACGTGAAACCTTATCAGGTGCAGATGCCAGTGAACATGGACCAAAGAAGCAGAGAAGCAAGCACGCAGACAAAGATGAACAGCAATGCTGCAGACATCTCGTCGGACAACAATTGGCAACTCAGAGACTTGGAGTTCTTCTGGGGAATCAAGTGTTGTTTGGGTGTTGCTGCATTGTGGGGTTTCTCACAGAGGTTGGGGACATGGACATGGGGTTCAGACAGATAGTGTTCATGTGCTTCATTCTCTTGCTTGTTGCCTTGGGCAATGGGACAGGTTTTCCCATGAAACAACCAAGGGAAAATGTGTGGGAGACTTTGGCTAAAGCAGCGGGTCTGGACAGCATTTGCCTGACCCATTCAGAACAGGGGAAACAATTTTCAACATGCTTGGTAGGTGTGCCAGTGAAGGAATGACCAATTCCAAGAGACATCCCTCCAAAAGGTTCTGAAGTCTTTTTCGGATCCTGTGGAAGGATGGCATGTTTGGACACAGTTCCTTCCTCTGGCTCACTTTGAACCTCCAGAGTTGGACATTTTTTGGGTCAACAAGAATGAAGTTTGGTATCAAATTCAATCCATTGAGAGTGGCAAAGATAGATAATCATATAGTAGATATCATTCCAAATCAGTTCTTTTATAGAAATGTGTCATCCTGGTGCAATCACACCAAAGTGACAAGCAAACCTTCCCTTCAACACCCAGCCACTTTACCAAAGGGAGTGTTTTTTGATTTGCGGGGACAGAATTTGGCCTGCTATCCCTGCAAAAGTCAAGGGCAGTCCATGCAGCATTGAGGAACTTTCATTGATAACACCTGATTTGAAAACCTTAAAGGAGCAGACACATAGGAAAGAAAAAAGATCCTTTGAACAATATAGCCAAATTGTGATGATGATGTTTGTACCTAGGACAAGGCTCAGAGAATTGCAGTAGCAATTTTCTCACCCCAAACAGCGTTAGGGGTGGCCTTGACAAAACTGAACCACATAGCATACTGGATTGAGCAAACACAGTCGTGCCATTTCGTCTGCACTGAGTGACATGTTAACAGATATCAGCAGTGCAAGACAAGCGGTGCTTCAGAGCAGGGCAGAAGTTGATTATTTGCTGCTGTCACATGGGCACAGATGTGAAAAATCTGAGGGG